GAGAGAAGCCAGTGCTCCTGACCACCAAGCCATTTCTCCAGCCCTCTATGTTCAACTTTAAACGTTTCTTTTTAATTTTTCTCTATGTATAGGTATTTTGCTGAATACTTCTGTACCCCTTGAGTGCCTAGTGGGTGCCTTCGGAGGCTAGAAGAAGGTGTTGGGTCCCCTGGAGCTGAAGGCACAGACAGTTGTGAACAGCCTGTGAGTGATGAAAATAGAGCCTGGGTCCTTTGCAAGAGCAGCCAGCACTCTTAACTGCTGAACCACTTCTCCAGCCCTGAATTCTTGTTGGTATCTACGTATGTGGATATGTGTTGGTGAAGGCCACAGGTCAACCTCAAGCATCATCTTCCCAGGAGCCATCCACCTTGTTTGTAGAGACAGGGTCTCTTGAACTCACTGAGTAGACTAGGTTGGCTATCTGCCAAGCCCCAGGGATCCTGGTGTACCTGCTTTATCAACACAGATTGCACTCACTTGTCACCACACTCTGCTCTTCTGCATGGGTTCTGGGATAGAACTCAGGTGCTTACGATTGTATGGCAAGTACTTTACCAACTGAGCCATCTCCCGGAACTCCTCTCAACATTGGATGGCATTTTATGGTTAACCTTTAAGAGTAAAACTAGGAGAATAATAGGTAGAACATTTGACTGGCATGCAAGAGGCCCTAGGTTCTACCCAGCACTGGAAGAAAGGGGCAAAAAGTCAGTACAAGTAACCATAAAAATACCCTTATAAGAAATCTAAATTGGGCTGAAGCGATGGCTCAGGGGTCACTGGATGCTGACCCAGAGGACCTAGGTTCGATGCCAGCACTGACAGGGTGGATCACAACATCTCTAAATCTAGTCCCAGGGGATCCTCTTTCCTCTTCTGGGCTCCACAGGCACCAGGCACAAATGTGCACAAAGCACACAGACAAAATACGGACTATATTGAGTCTCCCTCTGTACCACCAGTTCCCAAGCAGCAACATGGAGACTTATTGTTAATTAAGAAAGCTTGACCTTAGCTTAGACTTATTTTTAACCATCTCCTATAACTTAACCCATTTCTATTAATCTACATTCTGCCATGTCTGCCTACTGCTTACTGAGCAAACTTGGTGAGATTGCTTAATCACCTGTAACCACTGTGCCTAGGGGTACAGACAGGGAAACTGGGGTTAGTAACATTGAGGAACAGAGCTACGATGGCTTTCAACTTGATATGAGACAGCAGAACTGACTAGATAACCAGGAAAACCAGGGACTCTGTGTAAGCATTGCAGCTTGAGTAGAAAGGTGTCCTGTAGTCAGGAGCCAAGGAATACCATAAAGTCACCATAAACATAACATCTTACAACTCTGCTCCAGGGAAAGGTTTCCCCAAAGCAAGCGTAGCAACTCTGCTATGACAAGGGAGGGTTTCCACAATGAAGTTGTTACATCTGCTCCAGAGAAGTGTTACAGCTCTGCTCTGCTACAGCAAAGTTTCCCCAGCAAGAAAGTTTCCTCAGTAAAAGTTACAGTTCTGCTCTGATCTGCTCCCTCTAAAGTTGTTACAGCTGGAGGCTCCACTCACAGGAAAATGTTATGCTGCACAACAAACCACAGTATTTGAAGAATCCAAGAGGGTGGCTGTCTGGGGTGAGAAACAGTGGCAAACTAAGCAGAGTACAGACCTTATATAGGATTCCTTGGTGTGTGGATGTGGCTTTCCAGGGTGGCTTGGGATTGGTGGATTTTTGTAGCCTGGTTCTGAGGCAAGCTCAGGGATTGGTGGGTTTTTGTGCTCAGGGACTTCAGGGATTGGTGGGATTCTGTGCTCAGGGATTAGTGAAAGTCTGCAACCTGACTCTGAGGCAAGCTCAGGATTGGTGGGATTTTAAGCCTTGGCGCTGGGGTCAAGTCAGGGACAGGGTGCTTTTTCCCTGGTCCCTTTTACCTTATAAGCAAGTTGATGTTTGCAAGTTGCCTGGCCAGCTCCATGAAGCCCTGGAAGACATATAAGGCATGGTGCTCTCAAACTTATGAAGCTAAATGTAACAGACTGAACTTTAGGTGAGAACAGCTTCTACCAAGAAACCTCCTGAAGACACCACCCCATAGACAAGGAGCTAGTATGTGGTAATCAAAAAGGACTGTGGCTACGTCTTGGTAACTGATAGTAGTCACTTCTCACTATGATAAAACATATGAGAAGCAAGAGAACGGATGAACATCTACAGACCCCACCCAGGTCAGATCAGCAACACCGGAAAGGTTGGCAGAGCTGGCAATGCTCGGCCAGGCTAACAGCCAACAAACTAGCCAAATGCAACAAAGCAAATCAGAGATGAATGGAGGGCTTCAGAGGGTGATGCCCCTTTCTGAGTGGGCCAGAAGAACGTGCACAGACTATGTACACCTTTAATTGCTCTAGTCCCTCATGTGTGCAGAAAATCAACCAATTGCAATAGGATTCTCTGTTTTTTGAGATAGGATTTCTCAATGTAGCCTTGGCTGTCTCTCGCTCTGCAGACCAGGCTGGCCTTGTGACCTCAGAGACCCACCTGCCTCTGCTTCCCAAGTGCTGGGATTAAAGGTGTGTGCCGACAGGCTCAGATAAGATTCTCAGTGTCCAGTTTCTACTCTAAATCCTCTATAAAAGGCCCTAAACAACCAGCCAGTTTGATGTTTATTATTCCTTTCTTGGGAACCCTTCCACTTGCTCTGCCCTAGTTTCTCACATTTCTTGATTTCTCCCAAGAAAGATTGCTTTCACTTTGCATGTTGAATCTTCATCATTGTGAAAGAATTCAAGAGCCACAGTCATGAGTTAATTTCTGCTGGATGTTGAGTTTCTGGAACTCCAAGTATTGGATCACATCTATCTGGGCAGAGAAAAGTCCCACTGATCTCAAAATTGCATCACATTGAAAATTATTGTAAGTATGGGTAAACCTCGCTCTCTTAAATTTCACACTGTGGTTTCTTACTAGAAATCATTTCTCCTTTTCTTCTTGAAGTGAATAATTTAGCTACAACACAGGCAGTTTAAATATAAATTTAGCACCAAGGGAGGTTGAGGTGTGTGGGCTGACTGAGCATGGAGGGGTTTTTACAAGGTTTTGTCAATTTTGTGAAATGAATTTCATAATTATAGGGGTGAATTAATTGTCTCTCCCCAAATGTCATGCACCTGATCCATCTCTCTCTCTCTCTCTCTCTCTCTCTCTCTCTCTCTCTCTCTCTCTCTCTCTCTCTCTCTCTCTCTCTCTCTCTCTCATTTTTTTCTTAGACAGGGTTTCTCTGGCTTTGGAGGCTGTCCTGGAACTACCTCTTGTAGACCAGGCTGGTCTTGAACTCACAGAGATTCTCCTGCCTTTGCCTCCCAAGTGCTGGGATTAAAGGTGTGTGCTACCATCAACCAGTGATGTCTCCTTTTCTTATAAATTTCCCTGTGATATTCTAGAAAAGCCTACAATAAGAGGGCTGTCAAAACCACAATGTAAATAAAGAATTGCATGAAGTCAGAATTGTGATGAGGTCCTGTCTACAGGCCCTTTGTAACTGTACCAAAATGACAATTGGAAAAGTGCCTGGCACTTTAATTCCTGATATATCAGGGAGAACCAAAGTTGCAGCATCAAGAATGTTTAACTACACAGGAGAGTCTCACTGACAGGAAACAGCTACCAAGATAGCAATTTCCTTTAAGACACATTGGACTCCTTACTTCCCAGCCTCACCAGGATATGTTAAGTAGATTAATATAAATGTTCACACAAATCTATTATTTATCACCCAGAGCTTGAAAATAATAGTTACCCTTGCTACTCAACTTTAGTCATAAATATATTAAAAGGACATAGACTTCACCTTCATATTGTCAAAATATCTAAAGTTCATGGAAGTAGATTTTGAAAATATGGCACAACTTTCAGGTAACTAGAAAAAAAGAAATAAATCTAAGAGGAGCAGATTAAACAAACCACCAGAGAGAGGGGAAAATGAAGGAGAGCCAGCCCTCTCTTCTCGTAACTTAGTGTGAGCCGGAGAGGTCAGAGCATGCTGTGGGACCGTGCCCTGGTGTGCCGCTGAGGTCTGAGTGTCGTATGGTAGGAAGTGTTCCGCAGGTGAGTCTCATTCAGTGGTCAGTGGAATAAGGGGAAAAAACTAAAATAAATCTGGAAAGGCTGGGAGTTGGGATTATTGGTGTGAGTTCTGATTCTCTCACACACTGGGGATATCATTATAGATATAATAATCGATGCATATATCTTAGCCTTTGTGCAGGGGTGGGGAGAGGCAGTGTGTGGTTTGGTAGTGTGTGGTGCGGTGAGTGGCTTGTAATTAAAAGGCCTGTTGAATTGTAGGCTGTGTGTACTCCTGGAGTCCAGCTTCCATAAGCTGTCACTCATACTTGGATGGGCTTTTAGTGATGGCTGTCAGTCATATGTGCCTCCCATGCCCCTCATCCATATTCGCTGTTGCTTGGCTGTCTCCGTAGCTCTGCTGAGGGAGTCCAGCAGCAGCAAGGACCCCAGCACAGGTGCTTTCCCAAGTCACAGCCATGTGCTTTCTTAGTTAGAGTGAGGATGCCGTCCTCTTCCCTGGTCTGAAGCACATGTCCCTTGGAATAGCCTAAGCTCAGAGAATCACGCTTGTAAATCATATAACATGCCTGTGTGCTATAGGCAATGTGTCTGTGTGTCTCCTTCTCAAGAAGGACCCCTGGTGACTCCACTGAAGCATCCACTGGAGTCAGAAAATCTGCCTCCCTCCATAAGGTGACAGATGCTCTGCTAGGGACCATGGGAGCAGGGTTGCCATATCGTCCGCTAACCCAGGAGATGAACATCTTTGTGGTGCTTGTGTGTGGCACCCAGGAGAAAATAAGCAATGCAGAAAGAGCCTTGACATGGAAAGTTCGCTCTCAGGAGGCACATCTTTGAAAAACAGCTCAGACTGGTATCCGTTGACAACACACTAGAACCTTGGCATGAAGAGAAACAATTGTGATGCAAGGAAAGGACCAAGTTGGAGCAGGCCTGAGTCTGAAATCAATCTGCAGCAACCACAAGGGGGAGGGGGAGAGCATTCAAAACAAAACAAAACAAAACAAAACAAAACAAAACAATCCCCAGGGAAACAGTCTGGAGAAATGAAGTTAAAAGGATCAAACTTAGCTCCTGCGTGGAAGTGACAATCCAACGTGCTCCCATTAAAATGACTTCTCATCGGCCATTCCCTTCAGATGACCTCCGCGTCTACTATGCTCTGTGAGCCTCTATGTGCGCCTTTAAATGTAGCCTTAGGGATGGGGAAGAGCCCTACCCAGAGGAGCTGGGCATGTGTTGCATTTGGGAGGGCCCTGCTGAATTTGACCCACGAAGGACCCAAAGAGGTAACATACATGTACTTCCTGAGCAGTCAGTCCAGGTACCAAGGAGGTAACATACATGTACTTCCTGAGCAGTCAGTCCAGGGCCTCTGTGACATCAGTGAGTAAAAGTGCAGATGACCCTCCATGTGCCAGTGAGCACTTTTCAGATGGGTGTAGCTGTGAGCAGAGGTACCAAGAGAGACTGCCCTACCGGAGACATCAATTTAGATTCAGGACATGGAAAGAAAGATCATGAAGGACAAAGGTGTTGAGTGACCCGACCGAAATAGGTCACATAATAGAAGGAGTCTGAGCAGGGCAAGGAGGCCTCCTGGAGGCTGCAGCGCCTCATCTCTGCACGTCAGGCAGATGTCCCAATCCCATCTCTTACCATTAGCGACCCTAAATAAGTCTTTGTAGTTTGTATAAGATTTATTTTTATTGTGGGTGGGGTGGGGTAGGGGTGGGGGTGCATGCCTTTAATCCCAGCACTCGGGAGGCAGAGGCAGGTGGATCTCTGTGAGTTCAAGGCCAGCCTGGTCTACAGAACAAATTCCAGGACAACCAGGGCTCTTATACAGAGAAACCCTGTCTTGTAAAAACCAAACCAAACCAACAAAAGAACCCATATGATGAATATATAATAACTAGTTATTAGCATAGTAATAATTTGAGTATTTTCTTTCTCTTTTCCTCTATATATGTGTATATGTGCATGTACGTATATATGTACACGTGTATGCATATATACACATTTGTGCTCTTAATATATGAATGTATATGTTCCTACTATGTATATATCATGTTCTCAGAATGGTAGCAATATACGTATACATTCTCAGTATATACTATAATTTCACATAACTTAATAGACGGGTAAGATAGATAAACATTTTCATTTCTTCTGCATCTCTGTATACTTCCCCTTGGGATACTACTATAGGCAAACGACTAACTCATGTAAGCCTGTTATCCCATCTGTAAATGGGATTTTAGGAGAACTATTTCTACTCTGAATGGCTGTTACAAGTACTTAATGGGGACTGTTTATTAAGTACTTAACATAGACTAAGTGTGAGATATGCATGAATGTTACTGTTATCTTTAAATAGTGTTATTCTTACCAATAATTGAATTATCCAGAAAGAAGACAGGCTTTGGGTTTTTTTGGGGGGGTGGATATTTATAAACAGGGGTTCTCTGTGTAGCCTTGGCTGTCCTGGAACTCTGTAGACAAGGCTGGCCTGGAACTCACTGAGCTCCACCGGCTTCTGCCTCCCGAGTGCTGGGATTAAAGGTGTGCACCACCACTGCCTGGCTCAGGCGTTGGTTTTTAAAGGAAGGTTTGCATTTTTAGGCAAGCAGCCTTAGGACCTGGAAGTGGAAGGCTGCTCTGCTCCAATCTTCTGCTATAGTTTTTAGGAAGAAAACTTAATGTCACACCCTTGTTCAGAGTTCCAGGCTACCTGATGCAGTCTTAGACACTAAGTTAAAAAAAATCCTCCTGTCCTTGGAGAGAAAGTTTGAGAGAAAACTCATTAGGAATCCTCCCTAGCCAGCCATAGCAATGCACTCCCTTAATCCCAGGACTGGGGGGCGGGGCGCAGAGGCAAGGGGATCTCTGTGAGCTGAGCCAATACTGGGCCAGCCAGGACTACATAGGGAGACCCTATCTCAAAGCAAAACAAGCAAAAGCCATTTCTGGCCAAGCTAGTGGCAGGTAACTTTGAGATGGGAAGTGAGACAACGGTCAGTTCCGAGACTGCCTAGGTTACAAGGCCTCTCAGCTGCCAAAGAACTCTTATTTCCTAAGTTGAGAGGACCTCACTGGCACGTGCACTTACTCTCTTCCCTGCAAACACTTTCCTTCCATATGGCCCACGCAGTTCGGAGTGTGCAGATTACGACTCCCTTCCAGAGTCTGAGAGCCAGCTACACTTCCAGGGCGTGACGGGACTGCGCAACCTGGGCAACACCTGCTACATGAACGCCATCTTGCAGTGCCTGTGCAGCATATCTCCACTGGTGGAGTATTTCCTCTCCGGAAAGTACATCACCGCTCTTCAGAAGTAAGAGGCGTTCTTCATTGGGCTCTGCCTCCTCCTGGTTCCCCTGGGCGATGGCGACGGAAGGACCTGCTGGAGTCCTTGTGAAGGGCTGTAGGAGCCCAGGCACTGTAGGTCCCTCCGTAGCACAGGGCTGAGCATACCAGGGTAGGGGGCACAGCTGATGCAGCCTGGGCTGTGCTCCTGCGCCTGCGGCTTGGCCTTTCATTGACCCAGCAGGGAGTATTTGTCCCTCTCTTCTTCCCAGGGACTGCACTGAGGTCACCACCGCCTTTGCCTACCTGATGACAGACATGTGGCTTGGGGACTCAGACTGCGTCTCACCAGAGATATTTCTGTCGGCTCTTGGCAGCCTTTACCCAGCTTTTCTGAAAAAGACCCAGCAAGATGCACAGGAGTTCCTGATTTACGTCCTCAATGAACTTCATGAAGCTTTGAAAAAGGTAAGAAGTAACTGCCTTGAGCCTGGAGATGTGAAACGTGCACCTTTATCGGGAATCCCTGCTTTCATGTGCATGCATGAGAGAGAGAGAGATCCGGGTGCTGGGGGTCCTGAGGAAAATGTCCAGGTTAGGATATTTGTTGCTTATTGGTTGGTTTGCTATTTTTAACTTAATTTTTTTTTAATTTTTATTTAATATGCATGCATGTATGTATGTATGTGTACTTGCTTGCCAGATTCCCATGGAGGCCAGAAGAGGGCATCAGAGTCCCTGGAACTGGAGTTAAGTTACACACAGTTAACAGCCACCATGTGTGTGTTGGGAATTTAACTCAAGTCCTTCGGAAGAGCAGTCGTCTCTCCACAGCTCCTAAAATTTTTAAAATATCTATTTTTATTTTATTTTTCTGAGACAGAGTCTTACTGTGTCAGGCAGGTATACGACTCCCAGTCTTCCTGCCTCAGCCCCCCTCTCCAAGTGCAGGAATTACAGAGAGATCTGAGATACTCACATTCCAGCTTTCCTTGGCATATGGCAGATGCCCAGTAGCCTAACAGTACTCCAAATTTGCTAAGATGTTCAAGGGATAATAACCCAAATGGTTCAACAAAAATCAAGCAGCTCACAGAAACCTCCAAGACAACTGGAAAGCAAAGCCCAGGGCAAACTGATCAGGAAAGATTTACCTTTGTTCAAAACAAAGTGTCTGAATACTCAGGTTCTCTGCTAAATACAGGTACAAAAGCAGCTCACTGGCTGAAACCAAAGACCAGAAGGGCCCTCGGGAAAGCATTCTAGGGTCCATGAGCGGCCTGTTGAATCTGTCCTCCCATTGAGGGCCATGTGGCTTGCCAGTGCCTGCCTAGTTTGCCAAGTTGTTACCAACGTTTTTAAAGGGTCAAAGCTTTAGCAAGCTTGGTTCAGCTCCCACCTTCTTCAGGAGTACAATTAGAGACAGTAACACTGGACCAGTGTGGCTAGACTGGGAAGAGAAACCAATAAAGAGGAGGTCCAGGGATCCCCAAGTCAACTTTGGGGTACTGACATGGGGTTTAGGAGTAAATAGGCGTCTAGAAATGTACGTAACTAAGAATCTGTTCAAAGTGAGTCCTGCTCATCACTGACCCTTTATTCTTTCCCTGCCCATCTTTCTTACAAGACAGTCTGATAAGTTGTTGCAACTAACTGTGTGTAATCTCTGTCTGGGAGACTGGCCCCTTCTCCACCCACACCCGGTTTCATTCAGTGGTGAGAGCAGCAATCCAGTTTCTCAAGGACCATTATTTTCAGTATTCTGATAGCCAAAGGGAGGACACAAATGTCTCTCCTTGAAGTACCTTTTCTTCTGCCAGGACAATTACTATCCTTCTTTAGTTTCATCCAGAAAGGGAAATAGTTCAGTCATCAAATCTCACTCCTGCTGTTCTGGCTGAATCCAAACGAACTGTTTTCTGGTCGACATGTGCCATTCTAATAGAAAAAGCAGCCATTCTGTTTTCCATGGTTTTTGTAGCCACTAGATGACCAAGAGGAATTTGTCCCTTTACACAGCACTGCCGAAGAAGAGCATATGAGAAAAGATCTGCTCAAAAATGCTCCCGGAAGGTGACGGTCAGTGAGACGTCAATCATCACCCGGCTGTTTGAAGGACAGCTCAATTACAGCATCACATGTTTAAAGTGTGAGAACTGCACCTACAAGAATGAAGTTTTCACTGTCCTCTCCCTCCCCATCCCATCTGAATATGAGTGCTCCCTCCAGGTAGGGAGTCCCCGGTTGCTGAATAAGTTTTCTTGTTTTGAGACAGGGTTTTCTTGCTGTGTCATCCAGGATAGCCTGGGACACTGGGTTCAAGTAACCCTGCCTGAGTCTCTCAGGTATTGCGATGGAAGTCATGGCTGTTATTTCCTAATTTTAGTAGGAGACAGCAGTTGTATGCCTTAAAGTTATAAACAAAGGAAGTGCATGAATGAACAGCATTTTTTTTGGAAAGGCAACCTAATAGTTACTGTGAATCTAGTTGTATTTTTAAATGTACTCAAGACATGACCTCACTCAAAATTATAAATATGGGTGAAGTGTATTCAGTCTCGTGAGATATGGGGAGTTTGTGATTTCTAAGAAGACCTTACGACTCACCTCCATACTCTAGTTTAAGGCCAGGACTAGCTATAATAGACTCTTTTTTTGAAGGTTTATTTTTATTATATAGAGTGTGCATTATGTGCACCGTGTGCATGCTCGGTGTCCAAGAAGGCCAGAAGAGGGTGGGCGTCAGAGTCCCTGAAGCTGCAGTTCAAACAGTGGTGAGCCACCACATGAGAGCTCAACCCAGTCCTCTGCAAGAGCAGCCAGTGCTCTTAACCGTTTAGCCATCTCCCCAGCTCCTAAGACTCCAGACTTACACTTTGGATGGAGGCAGTGGGCTGTGTTGGGAAGAGAGAGGCATCTGGTGGCTTAGTAAGCCTCTGGGATTAACCAGTATGTAATCGGGGAGGTGGGGTCTGGGAAGGAAGTGGTTGGTTAGGGACAATCAGGAATTGGGTACTTTTCTTGCAGAATTTTGCACAGTTTTTTCTTTTGCGATTGTGAAAACACCTGCTGGCAACAGTTTTCATATATATATATATAGTTGGGGAACAGAGCTCTATTGCTTTCCATTTTGTTTGCCCTTAGATCAAAAGGATAAAGATTACTGGAAAGAATGCCAGATTCTTGAATGGAGCACTGGCAGTTCTAATGGAAACAGTTTGTATCTCTCCTCCTCTAAGCCATGACTTGCAGAAGCAGGGCCTGGCTGGAGATGTCATCTGGGGGAGGGGCTAATTCATCTACTGTGAATTGTCACCCCAAACCATGAGATAGGATTGATTTCAGATGCCTCCCCCTTTGTTGAGTGAGCAGATTTATAATAGAAAACAGCTGTCTGATTAGTTAGTAGGAATTTCAAAGTCTGTATTATTCTGAAATACACCAGCAAAGTGAAAGTGATAATTCATAGATTGTTGGTGGGAAAAGAACCTAAGCCCATGTCAGCAGCTTGGTGAAAAAAGCATCACTTGTTGCTAGGCAGATTTTTATTGATTATTCTTGAGACATGGTCTCACTGTATAGCCCTGACTGGCCTGGAACTTGCTATGTAGACCAAGCTAGCCTTGGATTTGAAGAGTTCCTCCTGTGTCTGGATTAAAGGTGTGAGCCACCAGCCCCAGCTAGGTCGATTTTACAGGACTGTGGTGATGGGGATGACTCCTGGGTCTGTTCCTTAGAAAAACTCCCAGAAGCACGTTTACACAGCTCTTTCAAAGTTTGTGGTTTTGTTTGTTCTTTGAGAGATAGGCTCTCCTTGTATTGCAAGGCCAGTCTTAAACCCACCATCCTCAGTCCTATGCCTCCAACGTGCTGTGATTACAGGCAAGCACAACCAACTTCTGCTTCCTTCTCACGCCAGCAGGGTCTTTCTCCCCCAACAGGACTGTCTCCAGTGTTTTTTCCAACAAGACACATTGACCTGGAACAACCAAATCCATTGTTCCTTTTGTGAAATCAAGCAAGAAACTGCTGTGAGAGCCACTATTTCCAAGGCACCAAAAATAATTGTTTTTCACTTAAAAAGGTATGTGGATCTTGACATCTTGTGGACAGATGGTTTTCAACAGTTTTACTGAGATGTATTCACGTGCTAATAGTTTATCCATTTAATATGTAGCTTGTTTAAAATCAGTGGCAAGCTAGGCGGTGGTGATGCACGCCTTTAATCCCAGCACTCGGGAGGCAGAGGCAGGCGGATCTCTGGGAGTTCGAGACCAGCCTGGACTACCAAGCGAGTTCCAGGACAGCCTCCAAAGCCACAGAGAAACCCTGTCTCAAAAAAAACAAAAAAAAAAAAGAAAAAGAAAAAAAAATATGTGGATGCCTATGTGTGAGGGTACATGCATATGTAGGCCAGAGGTTACGTCTGATGTCTTCCCCAGTCCCTTATGTATCTAGGCAGTGTCTCTGGCTGGAACCCAGAGCTCACCAATTTGGATCATCCAGTTAGTTTGTATTGGGGGTCTCTCTCCGAGAGTTGAGGTTATGGGTGGGGCATGTGCTTCCTGGCAGTGACATGGCTGCCAGGCATCTAAACTCAGCTTGCATGACAGTCACCTGACCCATCCCCATAGCCCACCCCAGGGAATTACTAATGTTTTCCATCCCTGGGGCTTTGCCTTTCTTAGACCACCCTACACCATGCTGCTTTCACAGCCTTTTGACTTTGGTTCCTTTCACTTGACACAATGTTTCTGAGGTGGCTTGTGTATGTATGCGGCAGGTCCTTGTCATTGCTGTGTTTTGATCCTTTGTGTAGATTTACAATTATTTCTCCATTAGCCAGCTGGTAGACAGTGGCCTTGTTTTCATTCTGGGCAAATGGAAATAAAGTCACTATATTGTGTAGCATGAACATCCAGTCTATAAAAGTCTTTTTTTGGGGGGGGTTTGAGACAGGGTTTCTCTGTATTGTTTTGGAGGCTGTCCTGGAACTAGCTCTGTAGACCACCTGCCTCTGCCTCCCGAGTGCTGGGATTAAAGGCGTGTGCCACCAACGCCTGGCTCAGTCTGTAAAACTCTTAATGTTTCTGGGGATGATCTGCGGCGAGGCCAGGTCACAGAGTGGTTTACGATTTCTGTTGCTGTTAAGAGCCACCAGGACCACAGCAACTCTTATAAAGGAAAACATTTAATTGGGGCTGGCTTATAGTTCAGAGGTTTAGTCCATCATCATTGATGTTATTTTGAAAATCTCTGGTTGTGGGATTCTCTGTCGATGCAAGAAGCCAAATCCACCCAAATTTTTAAGACCAGGTTTAATAAATAGAACAAAACAAAGCTGGGCACTCACAGGTGACTCTTGGAGGAGGAGAAACCACGCTCAGGGTCTTGAGCATCTCAGGGGAGCAGCCACCGATTGGCCTACTTTCTGAGTGCCAGGGTTTGGACAGGGAGGAGGGGCCTATTGCTGAGGCAACCCTTCTACCTAAACAATCATGGCAGGAAGCAGGGTGGCAGGCAGCCAGACACGGTGCTGGAGAGGAAGCTGAGAGTTCTACATCTGGATCCACAGGCGGCAGACAAGAGAGACACTGGGTCTGGCGTTAGTGGCTGAAACCTCAAAGCCCAGTGACACACTTCAACAAGGTCATGCCTGCCCCAACAAGGCCACATCTCCTAACAGTGCCACTCCCTGTGGGCCAATAGTGGTCATTTTCATTCAAACCACCGCAAAGGGCATCCCCTTAGTTTGGGGGAGTAGAGTTCTTCTTTATGGCCCAAGAATGACCCATCTCATCTAGTTAATTCTTCTGCCTCATACCTAAGTCAGCACATTTTCTGGGTGAACATTTTTTAAAAGTTCTGAATGATCCTGATAAGAGCTTAGATTTGATGACTTCTATTGTGAAAGATTTGAACAGAATTTCTTACTAAAACAGATTGAGAACTCAGTTTTGAATCAAGGATGCTAACAATGCCAACACTAAGACAGAAGGCAGGTGTGGTGCGCACGCCTTTAATCCCAGCATTCTGGAGGCAGACATGGCAGATCTGTATGAGTTGGGGGCCAGCCTGGACTATACAGTTTCAGACCAGCCAAGGCTACATAGTGAGACTCTGAGGAGGGGCAGTGGGAAAAGGAAGGAGGAGAGAGAGGCAGGGAGGGGGAGAGAGAGCAAAGAAAGAAATGGAGGTGATGTGACTCAGGCCTCTGCAGCATCTGATGCGCGGTCCCCAGACGGACGCTTGCTTTGCTGTCTGTGCACCAGGCAGGGTTTGCTGAAGTCCACACTGTCTCTTGCTCACCCACTTTGGTGAGGCCAATGGGTCTAGCATTTCTAAATATATTTCAATAAGGATGTAATTTATATGCTAGAATATCACCTCAAAAGTTACTCTATGTCAAATGTGTCTAGAGACGTGGACTTCATTCACGACATTTACTTTGAATTTCATGCATTTATTTCTCCAGGTTTGACATCCAGGGCTCCGTGAAGAGGAAGCTGAGGACAGACATCCGGTACCCACTCACCAACCTGGACATCACTCCTTACATCTGTCCAGTTTTCCGGAAACATCCGAAGTACAACCTCTGTGCAGTGGTGGTGAGTTTACCAGTGAAACTTCAAATACTAAAGGAATAGAACGTCCCTTCCTCTGCCTCCTCCCTCCTCCACTTGGCGGCCACTGCAGAGCTCTGAGTCTTGGTTACATGCATTCCTGGAGGTCAGGCCCATGGAATTGCTTGCCTTGTGTAATCATGAAGCACTCTGCAGTCAGCCCCCACACACTAGGCACTTTACAGTCCCAGGATGCCACGCCTGCCCGAAGCTGTCCCACGGGCTCCCTTTGGTTCTCAGTCAGCTGTGACTGGTCCCTAGCAGAGGAAGGGGCTTAGTTCATACTAACTCCCGCACGAACCAACCTTAGCATCGAGTCATTCTCTGGGCTCCTGGATTGTGGTATGAGCTGTTGCATCAGATGGTGAGGGTCCTTCCAGAGAGCAGCCCTGTCACAGGACCCTCTGATGTGCTGAAATTGATCCTGCCAGTTCATCTATTGCTCAGTAGTACATGAAAAAGTGAAGTCAGGTGTGTTGTTGTGCACCACCAGCACTCAGGAGGCAGAGGCAAATATCTCTGACTTGAAGGTCAGCGTGGTCTACGTAGTGAGTTCCAGGACATCCAGGGCTACACAGCGAGACCTTGTAAAAGGGGAGGGGATTATGTCTAGTTTTCCACATTCCGGGTTTAGAACCACTCTTGGACTTGCACAGTGCTTACGTCTTTTATTTTTCCGAGACAGGGTTTCTCTGTAGTTTTGGAGCCTGTTTGGAACTCACTCTAGACGAGCTGATCTCAGACTCAGAGATCCTCCTGTCTCTGCTTCAGAGTGCTGGGATTAAAGGCGGCCAGTGCTCCCTTCTTACCCTGTCTGTAGACTGTCTCCTTTATACCTTTTACCCTTCCTCTCCGCACAGCTCTTTTCCCCACACTCTGGGGTTAACAGTGGCTTCTTCCTTTTTCCCATCAGATGTAGATGTTAATTAATGTGAGCTTCAAAGGTACTGCGTCCTCAACCTTAGTTTTTAACTTCTCATTTTATCTGTTTCTGATTCTGGAAAATCTTTTTTTATTATACATTGGGGTTTTGCCTGCATGTCTGAAAGTGCCACATACCCTGGACCTGGAGTTAGAGACAGGTGTGAACTGCCATGTGGGTGCTGGGATTTAAACCTTTGGTCCTTTGGGAGAGCGGCGAGAGTGACCAGTGCTCTTAACTGCTAGCCATTTCTCCAGTCCCTCATCGATGAGTTTTGTCCCCACGTTTCTCATTTATTTTATGCTTACCTGATTAACCTGTGTACCAGGCACAGTTCAAATCTCTGTGTAATCCTTCACCCTTACAGCCCTGTCTTTTGGGAAATCTACTTAGGTCCTTTAGTTGCTTTTTAAGTTAGTGTTTCTTGCTCAAGTTGTTTTCTTACATATTTTGTTGTTGTTGTTGTTTTTTTTTTTTGGTTTTTCAAGACGGGGTTTCTCTGTGGCTTTGGAGGCTGTCCTGGAACTCGCTTGGTAGTCCAGGCTGGTCTTGAACTCACAGAGATCCACCTGCCTCTGCCACCCGAGTGCTGGGATTAAAGGCGTGCGCCACCAATGCCCGTCTTGTTTTCTTACATATTTTGTATACTAATCCTCATCAGATATGGATTGCAAATATTTTCTTGCATACTATAGGTCTTCCCTTCACTCTTAGGTGTCTTCATTATGCCATTCCATTTATTTGTTATTATCTATTGCATTACTTTTGCTGCGGTTTTTGGAATCACATTTTTAAAAATTTATTGCCTAGAACAATGCTGTGACACTCTGCCATCATGCTTTCTTTGAGAAGGTATGTGCGTGGAGGGAGGTATAGGTGTTTGTGGTGCATGTGTACATGTGTGCATTTGTGTGCGGAGGTCAGACTACTTTGATATTTTTAGACTTTTGCACATGCACGTGCACACACACAGAGAGAGAGAGAGAGAGAGAGAGAGAGAGAGAGAGAGAGAGAGAGAGAGAGAGAGAGAGAGAGAGAGAGAGAGAGAATTGCCTATCGGCAGATGTAAGCTGCCTAGTAATGATGCTGGGAGTTGATTTTGGGTCCCAGACAAGAACAGTGGACCCTCTTAACCACTGAACCATCTTCCTAGCCCCTCCACCTTTTGTTAACAAAGTCTCTCACTGATCAGCTAGACTAACTGACAAAGGAGCCTCAGGGATCCAGTCTCCTCCTTCCTAATGTGGCAGGGCCCAGCCTGCTGTGGACAGTGTCTCCTCTAGGCAGATGGTCTTGAGTAGTATAAAAAGTAAACCGAGTAAGCCATAAGGAGCAGGCTAGTAAGCAGCGTTCCTCCATGGGCTCTGCTTCAGCTCCTTGGCTTCCTGCAGTGATGAGCTGAGATTAGGACCGTGAGTTAAATAAACTCTTCCCTCCCATTTTGGCCAGCGTTTCATCACAACAGAGAAGACTAGAACAGACTTAACACAGAAATCTAAAAGTTTGAATCGCAGATTCATATATGCAGGGTTTGTCTTTCTGGGCTTTGGTTACAACCTCGCTTGACACAGTACATTCCAGTTCCATCAGCTTTCTTGCAGTTTCTGATTTCCTTTAGTACTGAATCTCATCAGGTGTGTGTACATTTTCATAGCACCTAGGTGAAAGCCACATCTGACTATATCTAGTTTCATGAGCTCTTGCTTGCCTTATTTCCCTAGCTGCTAAGTCCTGTCAGGAAGTCCTTGCCCATCCTCATGTCTCACATACTCCCACCCTTTCCTATAGCTGTAACCTTTCAGGTTTTGTGTTAAGGCATTTGATCTATTTGGGGTTGATTTTTATACATGGTCAGAGGATCCACTTTCTTCTACATGCAGCTGCCAGTTTCTCTGAAGTATTTGCTAAGATGCTGTCTTTTCTGAGTATTTTTGGCATCTTTGTCAAAAAGTAGGTGGCTTGGTGGTTAGTGGTCCAGCACCCAAGGGCAGCTTACACCATGGGTAACTCCAGTTCCAGAGGGCTCCAACTCCGTCTTCTGGCTTCCCCAGGCACCAGGAATGCACAGTGCAGATGCACATGTAGGTAGGGGTCTGTGGCTGCACAGGGCTCTTCTCTTCTACTGACCCACACATCTGTGCCAGCACCATGCTGTTTTGTTACTATGGCTCTGTAGTATAATTTTCACACACCATCCACACGTTCCCCTTCATCTCTAACCCTTTGGTACTGACTGATTAACATGACCATACAGCTCTGTCCTGCTGATTTTGCAGATCTGTACCTGGTTGTTGTAAGAATCAAAACCGCTCACACACAGGATTCACAAACACAGACTACTCTAGATTCACCACCACCCCCCATTTCACTGCTAACAAAAGCATATCCCAGCTCCAGTTTGTTGGAATTGCCAGAGGCTGAGGCAGACTTCTTCCAGCCAGTCTTGTTTATGCCCACGTGCTGTCTGGAGAAAGTGTTCCTTGGTTCTGGAACCCTCTATTATCAGAAACATTCATTCCTCTCCATCTTCTCTGTCCAGATTTGAAGATGCACAGTTCCCACTTCTACTGGTTGAGTTTGGGGTTATTAAGTGACATCGTTGTTTTGTATCTGGTGTCAGTATGTGGCATTTGCCGGGGTCACGTCAGAGGAGCAGCAGATGGCATTTGAAGTTCAGGTCAGCCCACCAGGAGACAAATTCACCTGAGGGGTGAATCTCGGATAGGCAGGGTCCACAGACTCTGGAGTGTCCTTTGCCGCTGTCATCTCTCGCTGGTGTCTGGCATGGTGAGAATGGGTATGGGGACATCCTCACTGCCTGTCATGTAGTGTGTTCATCTCATGGAAACATTCCATTCTACTGGGCATCTTACCTAAGGGTTACTATGGAGATGATTTCTTCTTAAGCTGTACTAATGGGTAATAATACTATTTTAGAGTTTTGATGATTAAAAATAAAACAAAGTGCCACACAGCTAGGGCCTATGAGTTTCACCTAAGGAGCAGTATAGATCACAGTTCAGATTAATGATTAAGAAAAACAATTGAGTCCCAGTAGCCCAGCTAGCTTAAATTCTCTTAATGTTGGGAGATATGTCCACAGGTGCATCATAGCTGAAACAAAGCTTAGAAAACAACTAAGACTAAGATGTTTTTGTTAAACAACTTTGAGGTTAAAAAAAAAAAACCATGAAGACAATCTAAAGTTTTAGAAAGGTACATAGTTGAATGATGGATGAACTCTTTAAGGTCAGGGAGCAAGAATAAAGCAGCCCAATTATCAGTAGCTGACATGCCTTTCTTGCTAGGATTGGCTGATGACCAAAGGTGATATTAATTCCTTATACCCAGTTCTGCCCCCAGTCTCCTCGTATAAAACACCGAGTATCTAGGTACCCTTAAGGCTTAAAGTAGAGCTGACTGATTGTTTCCATGTTTAAAGTTTAGGTTTGTGATTCTTTTACGATTCTTTATAAGATTACCTTTCAAGATAAGAGGGTAACTGGTTCTTTTTTTGTAACCACAAAACTCAACCTGCCAGTAAAAGAATTGTTATTTAAACTCTGTTAATCTATAACAAGTTGCTTGGGTATGAATGTACGTTGAGTTTTGGGGAATAATTTTTTACCTGTAATATATAAAATGTTTAATCATGTAAGGGATAGGGAAAACATGCTGTTTACTTGTATTCATTGTAATCATTCACTTGAAAAATAGAATGTAACCACACTGCAATTTTTATATTGCCTGAAAGATTTTGCTGTGGTATGCAAGCTGTAAGGGAAAGAATAGAGTTAGAAAGAAAACATTGGGGCTGGAGAGATGGCTCAGAGGTTCAGAGCACTGACTGCTCCTCTAGAGGTCCTGAGTTCAATTCCTAGCAACCACATGGTGGCTCTCAACTATTTGTAATGAGATCTGGCGCTCTCTTCTGACCTGCAGGGATACATGCAGACAGAACACTGTATACATAATAAATAAATAAATCTTAAAAGAGAAAACATTAAGAGTGAGAGAATAAGGAAGAATATAGATTTAGAAGAAAAACATCAAGAGTGAGAGA